GGTTGTAATAGCTTAGAGTGTTGTATAATAATGTCCCATTTTTCTTATGTTATGTAATGTGTACCATTTCCTTATTTATTAAATGTATATTGTTAACTGGCTTTTGCTCGTCTTGGTGAGGCTTCCCATAACGCAGGAGAGAGAGAGAAAGGGTCACAGCTGCAGATAGGGTGGCAGAGAATACTAATTCGCAAGAGGAGAACTTAGGAGATCATTCCAAACAAGGAGAGAGTGGGGAGTCATGTCAGCTCAAGTAGGGTGTGTACACAGGACAACGGGGCCAGTGTTGGAGCCGCACCCCTAGATATGTGATGCTGAACCCCTCTCCAAGATCAAGAGATGTACAGGGTGATCTGAGACAACTTCAAGCACTCCAGAGTTCATTACTGGTCGACCGACAGTAGCGGGAGTGTGGCTGCCGAGGTCGGTTGTCTGTTCCGGCAGAGAGTGGTTGTCCACCGTTACTCAAGTAACAGTCTGGTGCAGCAACCAGAGCTCTCTTTGGAGGTTTAAGTTCCATTAGCACCAACCCCCTCAGGTCGGGACAATACATAACTCAAGTGAACATAACAATGCACATAGCGCATCTGATGACAAACAACCTCAAGGTGGATAATCACATTCAAGAAGTTCTCATTATACTACAATGGAACTGCTTACAGAATCCTCAATAGAATTAATGGCATCATACAGTGTGTCCGTAAACACCAAACTGATGTCATAGTGCTTCAGGAGATGCTGGTATGTGATGACTTCAACCCAAGATTCAGCGATTATCGCAAGTTCTCTCTGCTTTCTGGGGAGAGAAAATGGGGTCTCATCACTTTTGTAAATAACAACATTCCCGCACAGATTATTGATGACCTCCACGTGGGGGATGAGTATGAATCACTGGGGGTAACTCTTTATTTAAACAATAATGCCCTGCATATAATCAACCAAAATGTGCCACAGAGTAAACTTGAACTTGACACACTACCTGAATTTGTTAATAAAGAACCTACCCTGCTGGTCAATGATCTTAGTGTCATTTAATAACCAAATTGAAAGCTGTATTAGAGCTTCACGCCGTGCGACTGGGCGAAATAACCCTCAGAAGAAGAAAATATAATGGTATGAGAACGATTACATTAAGATCCTCAATGCAAATGTATTGGCCATGAGAATAGAGTACCGGAGACATCCCACTGACAGCAACCAAGAGCTGTTTAAAACTGTGTGTCAAGTAGCCAGGGAAGAGAAGATTAAAGAGCGGGAAAGACAATGGCTTGAATTCACGAGCTCTATTGGAAGAGAAACGTCTGCAAGACAAGTGTGGGCGAAACCTCAGACAGCTAAGAGGGGCAGAACCCGGCCTGCGGCTCACAAAGACCCCCAGGGTAAGGCTGAAGAACTAATTCACAAGTGGAGTGATGCAGCATCCTTCTCCTCCTCCTCCCTCTCTGTAAAAATAAGCAGGGAACAACTCCTGCGTCATAATGACAGGAGAATCAGGATAACAAGAACACAGACAGTGATGATGAGTATGGAGAACCAATCACAGCCCAGGAATTAAGAGGGACAATAAAAAAGGGTAAAAGTACTGCAGCTGGTGAGGATGGAGTCACTTACGACATACTTAATACACGGTGTGAATTGTCTGGGAATCCACTACTCCACTTGTTTAACAAATCATTCCTAAGTGGCGTGTTGCCCACACAATGGAAACACGCAATAATCGTTCCAATACCGAAGCCAATGACCCTGGCAATTACAGACCTATCAGTCTCATGTCATGCACTTGCAAGATGCTTGAAACGATAATTCTAAACCGTCTGCTGCACCAAATAGGCAGGCTAGGGGGAGGAGGTTAATGGATTTGTTCAAGGACAGAGCACAGCAAATTGTATAGGTAATTACTTAGCTAATGACACAGCTAGGTACTCTGTATTTGTCGACATCAAAGGAGCCTTCGACAAAGCACAAGGGATTGCGATTATGGACGACCTTGCATGCTTGGGGTGTCAAGGGAAGACTCATAAAATGGATTGAAGACTATCTCACAGGGAGGAAAGCCAAGTCTGCTTCAGTCTCAAGAACAATGAGTATGGAACTCGGGACCCCCCAAGGTGGAGTCTTAAGCCCCACACTATTCAATGTACTTACGAACGCCATTGCAAATATTGATTTTCCGGAAGGGACGCAACAAGTGGGGTATGCAGATGATGTCCTAATACAAGCCCCAACCTTGGGAAAAATTAAACAGTCCATTGAACTCCTTGGAAGGAAATGTGTGGAGCTCGGTTTCACTCTCTCTACAAACAAGACAAAAGCATACTCTCCTCACAAGCGGAGATAAAATGAAGAACTACAAATTAATGTTGGAACACTTGAATGGGTTGACCACTATCGGTGTCACTGTCGGCTCTAACAAGGGGAAGAAAGAGGAGCTCAGCAAGCTCATAGGAACATGCAAAAGTCGACTCAGGACACTCAAAGCTATGACCTGGAATGGACACGGAGCCTGTATTGTTGTGCTTAAAATGATGCACACAGCCTATGTGCGCTTCGTTACTGACTATGCCGTACCAGTTTTGTGCACCTACTCCCAAAGCGATATGAAAAGGCTCGAAAGCATTCAAAATGAAGCCGAGACAATCATTCTTGGAGTCCCAAGAACTGCCAAATCGTCTAATCAACGAGAGTTGTCCCTCCCCAGTGTTAAAAGCAAAATTAAGGAACTGAATGCTAAGCTTGCAATTAGGATAGCCAGAGATCTCTATTTCAATGATATTGCCAAGAAAAATCTCAGTTCTGTGCTGCTAACAGGAGGAAACATGAGAATAAAAAATGGCATCACAGATCAGTCTGCTACCTTGAAGAACTTCACCTGCTTGAGCAAGCACGTGAGCTCCTGCCTGTAGAGAGGTTACCTCCCCTGGGAGGATGACTCATGTAGGATTTATCATTAATGAAATGACAACGAAAACATCCAACATAATACCACAAGAAATGAGGCACAAGTATCTCGAGGAAATTTATAAAGAAGTCCGAAATGAACTAGATCAAATCTACACTGATGGGTCATCAGATCCTGTCAATGGCAGGGCTGGTGGAGAATACACTGTAATTAAGGATAATGATTTTCAACGCAGAAATGAAGAAAGAGCGCATATTGATAACTATTACTCTTCAACGCAAGCAGAGCTAACTGCCATTCTTATGGCGTTAAGATTCCTTGACAGAAACACTAATGGTGCAGTGATCTGCACTGACTCAAAAGCAGCACTGCAAAGCCTTAGTAAAAATCGGGCAGAAAATCTTGCGATAGTCACTGAAATTAAGAGAGCTGTGAGAGTACTTACCAATCAGGGAAGAGTCATCAAGTTTCTGTGGATCCCCTCCCATGTTGGAATATGTGGGAATGAACGAGTAGATGTGCTGGCTGCTGAAGGCGCTCAAAGAGACCATATTGAATGCTTCATACTCAAGACTCTTCTACAAATTAGAGGTATTGTCAGGCAACATCACCGTGACAGGGTAACTGAGGAAAGGAGGATAGAAGCACAAACCAGTGAATCTGTACGATGGTACAACATGGTTGCAGCTGGCAATCCCAATCATTATGGACGAAGAGGAGAAGGACGCGGGAGAGAATCAGTAATAGCTAGAATCCGTCTTGGATACAAATATCCATGGAGATTCGGAATGGAAACAACAATTGATCAGCGGAGAATCTGTGATGAGAGTGACAGACACCACCTTGACCACTATCTACATGAATGTGAACACCTGAGGCACATTAAAAATATGTGTAGAAAAATAAAACCCACATTGTTTGAGTTAGAAAAACACTATTTGTCAAATATTGATACTGTTGTTAAAAGATTCCCCCATTTTGCACCCGCAAGATAACGTAAGATTTTAAGGGTTGACAAATGTTAAACTTCTAGTTTGAGGAGTTGTTCACTTGAGACAGTTAAGCAAGTCCCACCTGTGTCTGGGTACAAGTGACAGGAGGAACAACCCAGCGGGTTTTCTTCCTATTGGGGAGTGTTGTACATGTTGCTATGGCGGTATGTCCACTCACAGGATGAGTGGCGCTGCCCAATAAGCTCGCCTCTCAGGGCAAAATTTTAAATTTAAATTTAAGGACAGCCTCTAAGTTAAGAGACAATAGAACAAGAGGACACAGGTGGGAGTGGATACGCAAATGAGTCGAAATAAATGTAATGAAATACCCGTACCCTGTACGGGTGGTCAACAAGTGGAATGCAGTAACTGAAGAAATTTTGGAAGCCACCTCCATTCACAACTTTAAGGACAGGCTCGACAAAGATATTGAGTGTTAGAATAGTGAAGCGTTAACGCAACTGGTTCAAGAAGGGTATTAGGCTAGGCATAAAGAGCTAGACCTCATTTCCCCGTAGTCACAGATAGGTAAGTACAGTTATCATGAGGGGAGTGCACCAGAAATTTGTGCAACTTCCCCCCCCCCCTAGTGTCTAAGGGTCCCATCCTAATCAACTTTCAATAACTGGTCGATCGTAAATCAGTCAACTTCTCTTTATCAATTTTTTCAAGGTAGTAGTTTGAAATGATAGATATGATGTGTATAAATTATATGTAAATTAAAAATGTGATTGGAAAGTTTGTAAATTGCAAGATTGAGATTAGTGAACTGAGAGTGGCTGGTAATGGTGATCAGTTGAATAACGGTAAACTGACGTTGAGTCTTCTACAGTGAATTTTAAGATAACTGGGGAGATCCGGTAATTTTTTAGGCCTATTAATGTTCTTTCATTATTTTTATTATTACTATTCTTCTTCTTCTTCTTCTTTTTATTATTATTATTATTATTATTAATATTATTATTATTACTTGTATTTTTTTATTCTTACTAATATTATTATTATTATTAATACTATTGTGTGTTGGTGTTGCTGGTCTTAGTATACTCATTATATTTTATGAAGCTAACAGATTTGTTTGTGTGTTGTGGTGCCTTGGTGTGCCACAGACGAAGACGTGTCCATATTACTTGGCCAAGGAGACATACTACGCCTCTACCAGCGTCAGTCTCGCCTTCCCCAAGAACTCTACACTTAGGCACAAGATCGACCCACTGTAAGGCTCTTTTGATAACAAACAATTAATTGTATTAGCATATATATATGATTACAGTACTTGAAATACGACTAATTGGATTGTAGCGTAAACGAAGTGATTAGCACAAATTTTAATATTGCAATGAATTATAAATATTAAATACATTATTATCCGAATAGAATTCAACGCCTGCAAGAATTCGGGATCTTAAATTACCAGTTGATGAAGGGACTCCAACATGCACGGAACTGTCTAAAGTCAGATACCTCTACCAGTGCCACCTTCACCCTTCGTCCATTGGAACTTGGAGATTTCTATGGTGCTCTATGCATATATTCCGGAGGTAACAGTATTGCAGCAATTTTTGGTGAGATGGGGTGTTCTGAGGTGTCATAATGTAGGGACAATTTATAATGAGCGAGGGATGCAGAAACACATCAAAACTTATGCTAACGTAAGAAGTTGGAATGAGAAACAGCAAAGAAATTATTTTTACCATTCTGAATGGTTGATAATGTTGAGGGGCATAACGTAGGCTACATGCAAAATAGTTACTGTCTCTTGAAATCGAAGAAAGGTTCCAGAATATAAATACTGAGAGAATCAAATGGAGCTATAAGGAGAGTCAAACCTGCAACCTGGGTAATTCCAAGCCAACCCATCCTCAGACCAAGTCCATTCCATCCAGCGGTCGACACCAATGACACATTCATCAATTTTAGCATGGTGTTCATTCATAATAGGACTTTTCTCAAGTATAAATTAATATTATTATATATTAACATACTGTGCATGGTTAGGCATTAATTAGGTTAGGTTAGGTGTTTAGGTTCTGTTGGCGATAATTTGGATTTGCAGTGTGTGGGTGAAGCATTTACAGCGTTATGGTCCGAACAAAAGTCGCCAATGAAGCACTTGTTCGGGAAGTATTCGGACGTCATCAATCGTGAGTCGTGTGCAAACCGCTTTTCATTTACAAACAATGGGTTTGGCGGGTGAATGGAATGGACTTTGGCCTTTGTTTATGAGGACAGGCTCTCCAAACACACACCTTAAACCACTGAGCAATGATTTGGTATAAGTAATGTAATTGAGATTCAAATGATTCCACACAAGGGGTCTTGAGGCATCAAGATAATAAATATTATAATACATTTTAATATACCAAACTAAACAATATACCTATACCTATACTAAACTCTGGTTTGGTATAGGAGTTCCTTTCACCAACGCTCCCTTTTAAATGCACAATGAATTCATATTAACGTGATATATCAATGAGAAAATCGACTGGATTCATATGGGGAATCGAGCTAGCAACCTCCCAAGTACATGCCTTAACCCCAACCCGTCCTCGACTCAAGTCCATTACATCCAGTGGTCGACCCCACAGACGCCTTCATAAATTTGGATATGCTGTTCATTCAAACCGGGAATTTTCTCATATATAAATTAATATTATAATATATTAGCATGTTGTGCATATATAGACATAGGTTAGGTTAGGTGTTTAGGTTCTGTTGGCGATTATTTGTATTTGAAGTACGCGGGTGAAGCATTTACAGCGTTGTGGTTTGAACAAAACTCGTCAGTGAAGCACTTGTTCCAGAAGTGTTCAAACATCAACAGTTGTGAGTCGAATGTAAACCGTTTTTCATTCATAAACAGGGGGTTTGGCGGGTGTATGGAATCACTTTTGGGCCTTTGTTTGGAGGACGGACTGCCGCCTGCTGAAAGGGGAAAATAGAAGAAAGAGACATAAGAAAGAAGAGAAAAGATACAGAAGAGTGAAAAGAGGAGTAAAGAAAAGAGATAAAGTAACAGAGAAGAGAAGAGAAAAGATAAAATAACAGAGATAGAAGGATAACAGGAGAAATGAGAAAGAATAAGCATATAATTGAAAAAAAAGATATGAGAGAGAAGCAGGGAAAGAGAGGAAAGGGATAAAAGTGATAAGGAAGAGATAGGAAATAGAAAAGAAGAGAGAAAAGAGAAGAGGAGAGAAAAAGAAGAGAAGGAAGAGAAGAGAGAAAAGGGAAGAGAGGCAAGGGAGGAGAGATATAAATGAGAATTAAGTGGAAAGAAAAGAGAAAGAATAGAGAGAAGAGATTCAGAAGTGATAGAGAGGACTAAAAGAGATAATGAAATAGAAATGAGAAGAGAGAACAAAGAAAAGAGAAAAAAGAGAGAAGACTGAGGAGAGAGGAAAAATAATAGAAAAATGAGAGAAGAGGGTAGAGAAATGAAGAAAAAAGTGATAGAGAAATGATAGAGAAGAGAGAAAAAAGATGCGAGCGGACAGAGAGAAGTGACAGAAAAGAGATAAAATAGAAATTAGAGGAGAGAGAAAACAGAGGGTAGAGAGGAGAATGAAGAGAATAGAGGGAGAACAAAGGGTGGAGAGTATAAAGTAGAGAATGTAGAGAAGATAGAAATAAGAACAGAAAGATGAGACAAGAGAAAAGCGAGATAAGAGACAGAGGAGACAGATAAGAAACGAGGAGATGGAGAGAAAAGACAGAATAATGAAAAACGAAAAGATAAAAAAGTGAATACAGCAACTCACATATGACTTGATAATGGTCCAGGACGGACCGAAACGTCGTCGTCTCCTCATCATCTTCTGGTGTGTGGTTTGGTCAGCATATCTTCAGCCACGTTATTGTGACTCATCGTCTGCAAATAGAAGTGAAGATAGAAGAAAAATAAATAATAGAATGTGAGAAGAATGAGAGACAGAAAAGAGTGAGAAAAGAGGGAAGAAGGAAGAGAGGAAAATGAAGAGAGAGGAAAGAGATAAGAGTGGGAGATATGAGTGAGAAATGAGAGTGAGAGAGAGAATGGCGAGAGAAAGAGAGATGGACACAGAAAGATAGTGAGATAAAGACACAGAAAAGAATACAGACACACAGAGAAAGAGAGAGCATGAGAGACATATACAAACAGAAAAATACAGACATTCAAAGAGCCACATAGAGACAGAAAGTCACAGAAGGGGGACAGACACAGAGACAGAGGTCTGGACCAACGCTGCCAGTCGACAGGGCCGTGATGAACACTAGAGGTAGTGGCAGCTCCAAGCTCTCATGTGGCTCCTCCAGGGGGGGGGGAAAGTTGACGTGGGTGACGCCACAGTGATCAACACCAGGGGTAGTGGTAGCTCCAAGCTCTCATGTGGCTCCTCCAGGGGGGAAAAGTTGACGTGGGTGACGCCACCGTGATCAACACCAGGGGTAGTGGTAGCTCCAAGCTCTCATGTGGCTCCTCCAGGGGGGAAAAGTTGACGTGGGTGACGCCACCGTGATCAACACCAGGGGTAGTGGTAGCTCCAAGCTCTCATGTGGCTCCTCCAGGGGGGAAAAGTTGACGTGGGTGACGCCACCGTGATCAACACCAGGGGTAGTGGCAGCTCCAGGCTCTCATGTGGCTCCTCCACTTCCCTAAAAATAAGAATAACAAATATTAACATTAACTGCATGTTATATTTTTGTGTTGATTACAGAATTTAAAAAAAAGTTGACAAAGTGGGTAGTTGTACATAAACAAAAATTGAAATTTTAATCTTCCACTTAGTTTGACAGATCATTTAACATGAAAAATTAAATAATCAGGAACATTTCATTCTTAGATACTACACACTCAGTCCAGAAACTTATATAAGTCCAAATAATTAATATATTTAATGCTTAAAAAGTAATTAACAAGAGGGAACACTGTTCATTAAATTAATTTCAACAATAAGAAGATTAATAGGGAAAATAAACACTGAACTAGCAAACTTGCAATGGGAAATCAAATAACCTAAAAAAATAACCAAATAATTAAACAAAACACCCACAGGAGTAATAGCACAACTAACTGCCGAACACACAAGTTATGCTTGAACACATGTTTCTATGCAAAATATAAAAAGTTAAAAAACTTAAGAGAATATCTGATTAACCTGGATAGAGACTACATCCCGGGCAGGAGAGAAATGGTGAGGCACATTTCCTTCCACCTAACAGTAAGAAGGTAATCAGACGTTAGTCAGCTTGTGGTGAGGTTGCGTCCTGGACAGGGTCGACCTTGGTGGGGGGAGGGCTCTCAATATAAGCCTAATGTGTATGAGTAAACTCTGTCCCCCAATAAAATGATTTATTGTAAATTATTATTATTACAGAAGAAAAAAATGATGAAATGCTTTAACATAAATGACTTTCAATACACGGAAAAATGTTCTTTAAACAGGAAGATTGAATAAATAGATCAGAAGCTGAAGCAACCATACCAGACTGAAGAAATACAAATAAAACAGAAACCGATACACAAAAAAATCCAAAATACAATTGAAGTATTTTAGCATACTTAGTAGTATAGTATAGTACAATTTGCATAGACATTTGATAAATGAGACCTTGGAATGAGAGCTGATAAAATAAAGTCCATGGAAATAATGGGTAAAGTAGGCAGACAGATACTTAACTTCCTGTTAAATGGAGGAGTTAAGAGGATCAGTGCCCGTGACAGTCACGAATAGATCCACTATTGACAGGGAGGGACACTACTGTTATCGTCATGATGATCTTGATGTAACCTGGTTCTTATCAGATAAGTTATCAAGGAACATGCTTTATCCATTCATTATGTGTGATTATCAGTGATTAATTGTGATTATCAGTGATTAATTGTGATTATCAGTGATTAATTGTGATTATCAGTGATTAATTGTGATTATCAGTGTTTGGCATCGGTGTTTGAAGGGTGTAACCCTAATTGTGCTTATGTGGGGTTGAGCTTCAGTTCTTGGGACCCGCCCCTCTGCGGATGAATGGTTTTTTTTGTGCGTGTGCGTGCGTGTGTGTGTGAGCTCACCTAGTTGTACTCACCAATTTGTATTTGTTGAGCTTCGACTTTTTGACTCCACCTCTCAATAGTCAAACATATTTTGGGTGTAACCTAATTGTGCTTACTTGGATTGTGGCATCAGTGTTTGAGGGGTGTAACCATAATTGTGCTTACGTGGGGTTGTGTTTCAGTTCTTGGGGCCCGCCTCTCAGCAGAAGAATGATTTTTGTTGTGCGTACGTGCGTGTGTGAGTGTGATTAAACATGTTTTGAACATGTGGATGTATTTACTATTTGTATTTGTTTTACATTTGTGTCTGTGCATGGGTTGAGCTTCAGCACTTTGGCCCCACCTCTCAATAGTCAAACATGTTTAAACGTATGTGCCTGTGTGTGTGTGTGTGTGTGTAAGCTCGCCTAGTTGTACTTACCTATATGTCACCTCTCAATGGTCAAACATGTTTAAACGTATGTGTGTGTACGCACCTATTTGTACTCACCTATTTGTGTTTGCGGG